CAACAGAGAGAGAAAGCCTTCCCCTGGAGCTGACACCCTGAATTTGGACTTTTAGCCTACTTTGACTGTGAGGAAATAAACTCTTTGTTAAAACCAAAAAAAAAAAAAAAAAAGACAGGAAAGAAAGAAAAGACCAAAACTCATGGCAGAAGAGACTCTGAAATTTGTCCTTGAACGTAGAGTAGCTAAAGTGAAAGGTTCTGTACTAAGTTACTGAAAATCAGGATATTCTGAGAAGGGTCCCTGGAGCCATAGAAAACCAGAAGTTACTCTTTCTGCAAAAAGATTTTTTACTACCAAAGAGAAGAAAAATTGTCTATAACAGTAGATTAGTTGCAAGCTGTTGCATACTTCCTTTCATAACACAAGGGGAAAAACAGCTTCATCAGGCTGCTCTTAGAAATAGCATTTCTTGCCCTGGAAAAATCTTGCCGTGGCAGAGTCAGGAACCACAGCTTCTGTTTATTTTGCTGCTTTTGACGGCTGGCACTCTTATTTGTTCCATTTTCCAGGTTCCATCCAACAAGTCAAGATTTGTTATATATTAATTCCTTACACAGTAATCTTGCTCTAATTTCTATGGTGCTGTGTTGCATTTACCTAAGATGAAGAATGAGCAGCTTGTGATCCATGTGTGTCAGAGTAGAACAGTGCTCCACAGGGTTTTCAATGGCTGTGATCTTTTAGAAGTAGATTTTCAAGACTTTCTTCCTAGGCACCTCTGGGTGGTTTCAAATTGCCAAGCATTCAGTTAGCAGCCGAGTGCTTAACCATTTGCACCACCCAGGGTCCTTTCAAATAATACAATATGCACTTGTATATCTTTCCTCTAGATTCACCAAATTTTAATATTTTACAACATTGGGTTTCTCTCTCTCATTATTATTTTATTTTTGTAGAATCATTTGAAAGTAAGTTATAGACATCATGTCTAAACATTTCAGCACGTATTATCACTAAAGAATAAGAACATTCTACAGAACTACAATACCACTATCATACCCAAGATGATAAATGTAAAAAGATGTAAAAATTATTTTACAGCTATTCCTCATTTATCGACTATCTCATTATACAACATTTCACATTTGCCACAAAAGTAAAAAACCTACTATCCGACTATTTTGCACATTAATAATGTATGTCTAGCAGTAATGAATGCCAAGTTATAAAGTGAGAGTAACGCTGACTGTGATGGTTAAGGTATGTGTCAACCTGGCAGGGCCATGATTCTCAGTAATTTGGCAGTTATATAATGATGTAATTTGACAGTTATGTAATGATGTATTCATCCTCCATTTTGTGATCTGATGTGGTCATCCTCCATTTTCACAGAACGCCAATTTTTGCATAACGACCTGGTCTTTGTAACCTAACCACGTTGATAAGTGAGGAGTGGGTGTGTATTTAATTCGTATTCAAACTTTATGAATTATCCCAATAATATCCTTTGTAGCTGCTCTTCCCCTATTCCCTCAGCTGTGTGTCTATAAGCAGCCCTTCCTTTATCTGTCTTCCGTGATATTGATATTTTTTAATACTCCAAGACAGTTGTTTCGTACAGTGTTCCACAATCTGGATTTGCCTGATTACTTCCTCATGATTTGATTCAGATTAACATTTTGGCAAGAATACTTACATAGGGAAATTGAAACACATTTGAACGCTCTCAACAATGGGATTGGGACAGACTTCTGCTCTGTATAACAGCCAACATTCACCTATCACTTGGAGTTTATGGATTGCTTTCCCACTTTTCATATCATTTAATCCTCAGAATAACCCTGAGAGAAGATAAAATAAAAAAAAAAAAAGACAAAAAAAAAAAAAAACCCTGTTGCCATCAAGTGAATTCCGACCGATAGCAACTGTATAGGACAGAATAGAGCTGCCCCACAGGGCTTTCAAGGTTGTAATCTTTATGGAAACAGACTGCTACATCTTTCTCCGGTGCAGTGGCTGGTAGGTTTGAACTGTCAACCTTTCAGTCAGCAGCCAAGCATTTAACCATTGCACCACCAGGGTTCCTCTGAGATAAAATAGGACAATTATTATTATCTCCTCTTTACAGTTGTAAAATCTCAGGCTCAGTGAACATAAATGAAACATCCAAAGTCACTCAGGCCTCAAACCAATGCCACCACCTTCGATATATCTTGCTGATGCATAATAAATGCCTTCTTAATGTTAATATTAATTTGTATACGTAGCTGGTGCATGAACATTAGCCATTATTGGTCATACTGTGCCTACAGTTGGAAAGAACCAATTTCTTTTTATTGTTGTTGTTGTAAAAATATATATAACACAACATTTGCCAATTCAACACTTTTCAGGTGTACAATTTAGTGACATAAAAATCAATATCTTGATGGCATTGCTTATATTTCCTCAGTGTTACTTTAAGAATAAAAATGGAATCAACACTTCTGTCTCATCAGAAGATAGGCTCAGGAGTTAATAGGAAGTCAGAGAGAGTCTTGAGTGAGAGGAGATGGGATTGGAGCCCTTTCTGTGCTACACATAAGCATCGTTAATTAGCCTGTCTGGTTATCTATTAATTCAAAATCATCTAACGTTGGAGAAGGGAAAGCTCTTCTTTTAGAATCAGATGCCAACTAATAAATGTAGAAGAAATGCTAGACTTAGAAAATTGTCAATTTGCAACCACAACTGTAATAACTGATTCGAACAAGAATTATCAATGGGTATTAAAGCCATCAAGTGGACTGAAGAAAGTTTTCCTTATTCTGAATCTTTAAGAGAAGCACGTTGGGCAGACATTAGCAGAACTGACAGATGTAATTCTCTGGTGTTTACAACTAACTCAGAATCAGTAATTTCCATTTGACCCTTGACCAGTTAATTACTCCGTCAGTAACCAGGCTGTATCAAATTGCAAACCACTTCTTTAAAGATGCTTAGCCCAACCAGCGGACAACTATAATCATTTAACTCAACAGAATATACTTACTTTCAACATTTACAAGTTACTTCATGGGTGCATATGAGTTTCTTTTAGATTCTTAGTTCCTTAAATAATATCTTACTATTTTCTTTATATCCCCCAAAATACCAGCTACAGTACTTGGCCCATAAGAGATCAAAAATAATACTGTCCCAAAGAAATGTGGCCAGCTTATTTTGAAAAATATGATTGCAAACTTAAACTTATCTCATTATTCCTGTTATATTAATCATCAGTCTACTAACATTCCATCTGAGCTAAAAATAATATTATTTAAAAATAATATCAAGTGACTGCATATGAAATTCAAAGCTCTTATAACCTGATAGTTGTAAAATCCTATTCTAGTGAAACAGTCCTAAATATATATATATACGTATATATATATATACACACATATATATAAAACCACATTTGAATTTCATTTAATGGGCTATCTATGGTACAAACATTACTTCTGGTTTCATATAAAGTGTATCGTTTGGGTTAATTCTGCTATTGGCACCTTCTCATTTTTAGCCCAGCGGTCCCCTTCAACCTGTTAATTTCTTTGTTCTTCAGTCACCTTTAACATGGTCTGCCACCTGCTTCCCCCACCTCAATCTCCCCAAACATACAACTTTTTAAAATAAAATTAGTCTATATTAGACTACCTATAAATATATGTAGTACATAGGGTTGCTATGAGTCAGAACTGACTCGAACAATATAAATATAGCTAGTTTGCAAATGATAGATACTAAAAACATCTTTTGAAACTAATGCCTATGTGAATTGAACATGTTGGTGAGGTCTATTATACAGAACTTTTCTTTTATTAATAGACTTTGATATTAACTTGTTCATCAAAGACTTTTTATGTTATAATATGCTGGTACAGACAAATAGATTCATTATAGGCAATTAGAAACTTAGTTTTTAAAATTGGATTCCACCTCTGCCTCAGTAGCAGTATTCTTGAAAACAGTCAATTCCCATTCAAATAGAAAATGTAGTTATTTCATAAATAAAAGGCTTACTCTAAATGAAGCTCAAATAACATCTATAGGACGATTATTTTAGGAAGTTCTTATTCAAAGCCACTTCTCTTACATTGCCACTTCAGTCAATAACAACAAACATTGCTCAATTGATTAATAAGATAATATTTTTACTCATTTTAACAAGCCTTTAATCTTCAGTGTACATACCAACAGTGTGAATAGGTTTCCTATAGGGTATGAAGCCAAAATTGTACTGAAAAATTCCTCTCGCATGAAACAGTGGCAAAGCAAACCCCATGATCTTCTGCAGTTTCTCCTGTAAAGTTCGAAGCCATGAGCCTTCAGGATTGTCTACTTGTTTAAATAGTTCATTTTCACCAAAAGAAAACACTGGGACCAAATAGGCACTGCAAATAACAAAGGGTAAGAATTAGAATTTTAGATGAAAAGGATTTTTCAGTCTGTCCAGCTGACTTTTGCAACTAAAAACCAGTTGCCATTGAGTTGATTCTGACTCATAGTGACGCCGTGTGTGTCAGGGTAGAACTGTGCTCCACAGGGATTTCAATGGCTGATTTTTCAGTAGATCACCAAGGCTTTCTTCCAAGGTGCCTCCGGGTGGACTTGAACCTCCAACCTTTTGGTTAGCAGCCAAGTGTGGTAACTGTTTGCACCACCCAGGGACTCCAAGTCTCTTTATATTGCTAATCTCATGTTCTGTACATGGAAACTGCCTTATGCTTGAAATCTTTTTAGAGGTACTTTAGCAGTCTAGCAATTGACAGAATTTTATTGTACACAAAATCAAGGTTCCAGGAATTTTCTTTTTCAGCTATAACTTTGGCCATTTTTAGTGTTGCTAGAAATTTACACTGTATATAAAATTTTGTACTTTTTTCCCCTTTTTAAAGATAAGTTGCAGGATGCCATGGCATCAAGTTACTTTAGCCGGAAGGTCATACTCCATTCCCTAAGAATGTACACACCTGCTTATATTTTAAGATTGATTTGGGGGAGGTCTGTCTTTAAGGGCTAGAAAAATTCTTTACTTCTTTTTGTTCATTTAGTAATGTCATAACTTCCCTGACCCAGGGAATGAAATGAAAAGCCACTTACCCATGGGTCAAAGCCATTTTAACAAATCCTTTTCGCTGGCGGATGAACAGAATGAATTTTCCAGGATGTGCATCCAATGACTCTTTTGCACCCCCAAGGACAATGACTGAAATGTTTCCACCTCCCTCTTTGCTCAGCACATGGGACACACTTTTCCTGGAAACCGAGACTGGCCCTTAGTGAACAAAACATAAGTTACCCTTTTGAAAAAAAATCAAATTTTATCATAATTGTTTTTGAAAAAAAAATTTATCATAATGTTCTATGGCATCAGCAAATATTTAAGAAAATTTCTCAAACACTGCTTACATTTGGAGCAGTTTGTAAGTTTATAACTTTTGCATAGCCAAATCTGTGGTAATGTAATCCATTCATAAGATCTAACATTTGGCAGGTGATAGATTAGGTCTTTAAAACGTGAAGCACCACATTTTAAAGGTTTTGGGTTATCAAATGTCACCTGATAATTGCCAGGTCCAGTTTGTCTGGGCATGTTGTGCTATGTTTAACTCTAAAGAACCCCATTCATATTGCATTCCAAGTAACAGGTGGCCCCTGGAGTTGTTCAGTGCGCAACCTGCATAGCCATATGTGGTGGCCTTGATCATTAACATGGTGGGGTCTTTGCTCAGAACTGAAAAGTATATCCTTCAAGAGGTTGCAGTGGATCTTCTGAAAACATAATGGCCTGTTTTCAGATATTCTATGTGGATTAGTTTTCAAAAACTGGATTCATAAGCCATTTATGGCTTCGAATAATTCACACATTTGACAAATAACCTAGATCATTCGCCAGACTCTGCACAGTTCTGAAAAATGTCTAGCCTGACTTTGTTAAGTTGTTCATTTAAGACAGTTACATAGTTGTTCAGTCTTTGTATTGGGCTTTCCCATGTAAAAATAACTTTAAAGAGCCTTTTTCCGATTATATATTTACGGACACTTGGTGGCAAATACAAAAAATAGAGATGAAAACGCAAACCACTCATGACCTACATTTCAGAGATAATTGCTTTTTAATGTCTTCTTATGTTTCCCTCCATTCTTGATTTTATCCATTTTTTTTTTTTTAGTTATAACAGAATGTATTAGACTGATATAAAGGCATAATAAACTTCATCTATTAGAGAAAATTACATATAAATTTTTGTGGGCTCCTATTACTGGGGGAATCATAGAATGATGACAGGATTCTGAATCACTCTCTTATAGGAAGAGGCAGAGGGTGGTGAGTCAGAGGGAAGAGAATCTAAGCCAAGATGGGTTTGAACTTTCATTGAATTCAAGGCATGGCCATCATCTCTGCTCCATGTGAGCAGATTGAGAGTTGGAGGCATCTCTTCCACAGGAAAGAGAGCCTCGGTGGATTTCTAGCCACCTGGCTCTCCTGGCTTGCCTCCTACCTCTTTGGTCACTTTTTCTGTTTCCTTTCCAGGCTCCCCTTCTTCAGGTCACCCTTCAATCTGCTACTTCCTAGGATTCCTTCACTGTGTCTCGTCTTCTAACCTCATTCACACTCGTGGATTCAACCACCACTTGTGTGTGCTGAGTTCTCCCAAATCCATCTGCTGGGAGACTTTCCTCCTGCAGGCCCACATCTCCAACTGCCCAATGGACATCTTGATCTGGATGTCTCAACATTACTTCAACTCCATGTTTCCAAACTCAATTCATTAAAATTCTCCCTCAAAGTTGTGCATCTTCCAACATTATCTATCAAGGTGACTGGGGCCATCATCTCTTCAGTCACCCAAGTCAGAAACACAGGCTCTTCCCAAACTTATTCCTCTCTCTTAGCCAACGCATCGACTAGCTCACTCATCCATTCATTCAAAAGCATTTACTGAGTATCTGCTACAGGCAAAATACAGTTTCTGTCTTCAGGAGTCTGAAATAATCACTAAGTCTTATTGATCTGTCCATCAAATATTTCTTCATATTGAATCCCTCTTCTGCGTTTCCACTCTCACAGCAGTGTTACTTTAGCCCTTATCATCTCTCCCATGATCATGGCAGTGGGCCTCTTCCATCATCACAGACTCCATGTTCACCTCTCTCCAACCTGTTTCTACACTTCAGCCTGAATGATCTAACACGCAAAATTCAATCAGGCTCCTCCTTTGTTAAAAATTTCTCACATGTTCCCTGCTACTTACCTAGAGGATAAAATCTAAGTTTCTTTGCATGGTATATAAGGCTATTGTGATGTGATTCCTGCTATCTGCCCAGCTTTAATGGGTAAACACTAAGGAACATAAGCTTTGAAACGTGGAGTCTTCTCTGGCTGACACCTGGTGAGTATATACACACCAAAACAGGCCAAGAGGAAAGTGTTGGAGGGGGAATTTCCAAAGACTTATAGCCAGAGAGAGAGGCAGTGCTGATTCAATGGTAGAATTCTCATTTTCCATGAGGGAGAAATGGGTTGGATTCCCAGGCAGTGCACCTCGTGTGAAGCTACCACCTGTCTGTCAGTGGAGGCTTGCGTGCTACTGTGATGCTAAACAGGGTTCAGTGGAACTTCCAGACTAAGATGGACTAGGAAGAAAGGCCTGGTGATCTAATTCTGAAAATCAGCCAGTGAAAACCCTATGGATCACAACAGTTCAATCCGCAATGGATCGTTAGGGATGGCACAGAACCAGGCAGCATTTCATTCCGTTTTGCATGGGGTCACCATGGTCAAGGTTGACTCAACAGCAGCTAATAACAACAACAATACAGCTACAAAAGCTTCTTGTATAAGAGCAACAAACATCATTCAGAAAAGGATCTCTGAAACCTCATTGGTTCTTTACTACATGAGCTCTGGTGCACACATCTGTCTTTCATATGCAGACAGACAACCACTGAAGCAGATGCACAGCAGAAGGGTAGTCTTGAACCAAGGTTTGTCCAGGACAGCCTTAAACCAGGGGTTGTCTAGGGAAGCTAGTTCTGGAAGGGACTGAGAAGTCCTTATACTTAAAGACAAGGACAGCCTAAAGCTCCACTGGTTATTTGGATATTTTCATTTAGCTTTTAGGATGTTTAAGGCTGTATCAAAGGAAAAGATTTCATGATGTTATAAGGCAATGATGGCAGACGGGTTTCATCTCAAATGTGAACTCTAGTAAATCACAGTGGCTGTTGGGGTACTATGGAGGAAGACTCTAAGATTGATTTTTTTTGTCTCTGGCATGCCCATGGGAGAGGTGTGTACAAACATCTCTTGAACCATAAATTTGTCACTCCTGCTCTCAACTACACTAGTCAAACTCATCTGAGGCTATACTTGAATTAACAAACAGTATACTGTAAACAGGAGCCCTGGTGGTACAATGGTTAAGCACTCAGCTGCTATCCAAAAGGTCAGCGGTTCAAACCCACCAGCCACTCTTCCAGAGTAAAGATCTGGTGATCTGTTCCTGTAAAGACTGCAGCATAGGAAACCCTATGGGGCAGTTCTGTTCTGACCTATAGGGTTTGCTATGAGTCATAATTGACTCAATGGCACTCAACAACAATACTGTAAATATATTTGTGTTTTTTTTTTAATATATGTATTTTTATCGTACTTTAGATGAAGGTTTACAGAACAAATAGTTTCTCATTACTCGGTACACATATTGTTTTATGACACTGGTTAATAACCCCACAACATGTCAACACTCTCCCTTCTCGACCTTGGAGGACACTTTTTTTTTTTTTTGGGGAAAATATACATAGCCAAAGTTATACCATTTCAAAAGTTTCTACATGTACAATTCAGTGACATCGATTATATTCTTCCAGTTGTGCTGCTATTCTCACTATCCTTTTCCAAATTATTCCATCGCCATTATCTTCAACTTACTGCCCCGTAGGCTTCCCATCAAACCTTTTGAGTTGCTGTTGTCAAGCTGATCTCACGTAGATAATTTTTTTTTTTTTTTGGACCTTAGATGAAGGTTTGCAGAACAAATAGTTTCTCATTAAACAGTTAGTACACATATTGCCCTACGACAATGGTTAACAACCCCACGACATGTCAACACTGTCCATTCTCAACTTTGGGTTCCCTATCACTAGCTTTCTTGTCCCCTGCAGCCTACTAGTCCTTGTCCCTGGACTGCTGTGTTTTAAGAGGCTGTCCAATCCCCGGGAGAACAGTGAACTTCAGGAGTGACTTCACCACAGAGCTAAAAGAGTGTCCGGAAGCCATACTCTCAGGGTTTCTAGGTCTGTCAGGCGAGTAAACCTGGTCTTTTTTTTTGTGAGTTAGAATTTTGTTCTACATCCTTTTCCAGCTCTGTCCAGGACCCTCTATTGTGATCCCGGTCAGAACAGTCTGTGGTGGTAGCCGGGAACCATCTAGCTGTACTGAACTCAGTCTGGTGGAGGCCGTGGTAGCTGTGGTCCATTAGTCCCTTGGATGAATCTTTTCCTTCTATCTTGTTCTCTTCATTCTCCCTTGCTTCCAAAGGGATGAGACCAGTGGAGTATCTTAGATGGCTGCTCACAGGCTTTAAAGACCCCAGACGCTACTCACCAAGGTAGAATGTAGAACATTGTCTTTATAAACTGTGTTATGCCAGTTGAGCTAGATGT